ACTCCGTTTTTGTCTGTCTTTTTACCATTGAGTTCCTATTAATGAGATCTTGAACTCTCATTTAGGTCACATAAGCCAAAAACCGCTCGAACTAAAATTCGAGTTTCGGGCCGTGCACTGCTAAGCCGAATCTTAGAAAAATCATAACTTCCTCATACGAAGTCAGATTTGGGTGTTCTTTTTTATCGACGCTCTTAGTTTAACATATTCTACGACTTTTGTTTAGATTGCTAAGGATAAATCTCGCTCTATCGTAAATTCACTATTTACGCTTCCCGGTGCCGTGCCGGTTTTGTCGTAAAACTTCGACGAGCCATAACTTCTTCTTTATAACTCGGATTTCGGCGTTCTTTATATGTACGGAAACCTTGTGACATATTCTACAATTTGGTTAAGATTATTTATTCTAAATAATATTTTGTCGAAAAGTCATTTTCGACCCCTATTGCCTCTAAATTGACTAGCCCGGATCTGCGGGCGTTACAGTATCTATGAAAAGGAGTGTTCTCATTTGATATTTTGTATGACAATTTGGATTCAGGAAATCTTTCAGAAGGATAAAAGGTTATTAGATGTAGAAAGTTGAATATTTTTGGCTTATGATTTCTTTTTCTTTGCCATATTTTTAGACTTATTAAAAGTACAAGTTCTTTTTTCTATTTCAAGTATGGATCTTATGTATGGATTTGTAATTCAATTCTTAATGATATTGATTTCTATCTTTTCATATTGTCGATTTATGGTTACTTTCATTTAGATTGTTTTGATGTGTATGAAATATAGCAAAACTAACAATAAAAACTTAATTAATGTCACTCAATGTTAAACAATAATCACACTTCAAAATTTTCTCGTGTCTAATATAAATGTGGCTATGTTTTTACGTTTTTCAATGTCTCTAAAATCATACAATAATCACTTAACATCATTTTTAACATGTGGCTAAACGGTTAACAATAACCATGATATAAACTAAATATGTGTCTACATGTGTTTTAAGATCATGTTTTTCTCAAGTTTTTGTGGCGATAACTTAACCAATAACAGCATAAAAAAAATGATGTGTCAAATATATCACGTTTCACTAAATTCAATACTATGTGACTAATAATTAATATATCGTCACGTTTAGATAATATTTGTGTGTCGGAATATAAAAAAACGACATGTTAATATTTGTGTGTCTCTATAAAATATGAAATAGTCAGAATAAAAGATTATTTTGTGACTAATTGTTAGTAAATCGCCACTTATGCAATTAATTACATGTGGCCATATAGTGAACATGGTCATGCTCACCATGATTACATGTTTGCAAAAGATACTCAGTAGTCTTAATAAACTTTAAATTGTGTGATAATATATTAGTAAAACACAACACTAAAATAACACGCATGTCGCAAGTTGGTGATATACAGTCACTAGAATTACTAAATAAATGTGTCTATTGATGGTTTAACGCCACAATATTGGACAAAATGATTGATTTTAGCAACAAAATTCCCTACCCAATAGCCACACTTTTATAATACAACCACATTTTTTCATATCATACGGACACTACATTTTAAAGTGACCATAAGACTCATACGATGGCATCACCTTCCATTCCACTTTCAGTGAAAAAAATAAAATGTCACTATACGTATATGGTCACACTTTTTTGGTGTGTCTATAGGTCATTTTTGTAGTAATGGGTGGTGGTGGTTTTCTTTTGTTTTCCAGCCAAACAAAGGCTATACAACATCAAACCAAAAAAATACGTTTACACACATAACCACCACCACACAGTGGCTAGTGGTAGCAGAAAAGGGAACAATGGCAACAGCCACCATGGTTGGCGGCCATGGTGGTTCTCTTTGACTTCCGGCCAACCAAAGCACACATGCACCAACATATTCTGCAATACGATCCATATACGATCATAATCGACCCACCCCGCTTGAACTTCAGTCTTGGAGGAGGAGAACGGTGGCGGAGGGAAGACAAATGATTGGCAACACGAAATAGCGGCGGCGACGACGATGCAACCAAGCCCGATACCGAAGGCGACTAAAAAGCAAGAAGAAGGAATGGAGAATCAGAGATATGACCGAGAACAACACCAGCAGCAACCTCACGATGTCGACCTTATTCTTCTAATCTCTAAACCGATGTGACTTTGTCCTGGGGTTCTCGTCGGTCCTCAATACCGCTGCAGCAAAGGCTCATCGGTGATAGTAAGAAAGGAAGGGTAATGGCGGCTAATGAACATATGACGGTGGTCTTTTAGAACATAGGGTTAGGGTTTTAGGGCATATAACGGATGAGAGAAGGGAGTGGAAATGGAGTCAGGTTCAAGTCTCGTTCTTTGTATAAAACTTGGATATATTTTTACTATTTTAATCCCTGTCTCCAAAAATTAATTTAGAAATGGTCCAATATTTAGACTACAACCCTAACTCTACCAAATCCTTTAGATCTCAGGTCCTAATGTTACAATATAGCCCCCATTTTCATAAAATTATAACATTTAACTCCCCCGCTAACACTGATCAATTAATAAAGACTTGGGGCTAAAATAAAATAAAATATAAAATATATCTTGAGACTTTAGGGCTATGATTTATTTATTTATCTACTTATTTTATTTATCATTATTATTATCTTTATTTATGTATTTTATTACTTATTTTTATTTTATTTTTAAATGGAATGTTACACTACATTTACCATAAATCACTTTGTATAGTGAATCAAGAGCCTCAACAATCATTCCAAGGACTCAAAAAGCACAAAATGCTAGAAAACTAGATCTAACATCATATATTAGCAAGATGGGAGCTTTTTACCTGACAAGGATAACACATGATGAACTAATACCAGATCCTCAAGCTCCAAGCACAGCTCCAAATGGTTTACTTTTTCTCCTTCACAAAGCACCAACACACCTACTTTATGGCTCAAAAATCTCAAGAACTCAAGAGGATTTCGATTTATGGACAAGAGGGGATGGATGTTGTCTAAAAATGACCAAAATAAGCTATTATAAGGCTTAAATAGGATGCAATACCCTAAAAATTAGGGTTTGATTAACCACATATACGCCATGCATACTCAATGTATGCCCAACATAAGTGGTCCAAATGTGCGATAATCCTCGGGCTAGTACGCTAAGTGGACCACCCTGTACGACCCGCGTACTAGCTAGAAGGCCAAAAAATAAAGGAATTGCACTTAGGGTTAAGAAGAGACATACCTAACAATAAATGTTACAATCCTCCCCCACTTGAATTAGACTTCGTACTTGAAATTCGCTGCTCCAAATAACTCAGGGTAGTGCTCCCTCATCTCAACTTTAGTCTCCCACATCTATTCAGAACATGCACGATGGTGCCACTAAACCTTCACCAACTCAAAAACCTTGTCCCTGAAGGTTTTCATCATCCGATCAAGAATCGTCAACGGTCTCTCAATATAATTTAGGCATTCATCCACCTTAATATCCTCCGATGGTACCACTATGGAATCATCTACTGAGCAGTTTTGCAACTAAGAGACATAGAACGTGCTATGAATCTTACTGAGCTCATCTGGAAATTCCAAGTGATATGCAACCCGACCCACCCAAGCCAAAACCATGAAAGGACTGATAAACCTGGGGCCCAGCTTGCCCCTCTTTCTGAATCTGATGACACTTTTCCAAGGTGACACCTTCAAGAGAACCATATCTCCCACCTGGAACTCTAAATCTGATCGGCTTCTGTCGGCAAAACTCTTCTGCCGACTCTAAGTTGTTTGGAGCCTACTCCGAATCTGATGTATCAATTGAGTGGTCTTGAGTACCACTTTAGTACTCCCTATAACCAAATGACTAACCTAACCCCAAGATATCGAGGTTTTGTATTTCCTCCCGTAGAGCATCTTAAAAGGAGGTCGATTGATGATGGCATGATATCTCTTGTTATACAAAAATTCCGCTAACGTAAGATACAAATCCCAACTCCCACCAAATTCCAAAACACACGCATGAAGCATATCCTTTAGGTTCTGAATAGCCTGGTTGCTCTGAGCATAAGTCTGCGGATGGAATGTTGTGCTAAAATGGAGACGAGTACCCAACTCATCATGAAAGCTCTTCCAAAACCTGGAAATAAATCAGACATCTCTGTCTAAAACCACTGAAACCAGCACTACTTGACGTGCCACAACCTCCCTGATATAAACCTCAACCAAATTCTCTACAGAAATACTCTCCAAAATTAGAATGAAATGCGTCCACTTGGTCAACCGATCCATAATAACCCAAATCAAATCCCCTCCGTGCACAACATTAGGTAACTTCATGATGAAATCCATGGTAATATCCTCCCATTTCCACACAAGAATCTCTAATGGTTGCATCTTGTCATGAGGTCGTTGATGTTTGGCCTTGAATTTCCAAAAAGTCTAGCACCTCTCCACATACCATGC